AGAAGACGGCTTACAGGAAATAGATGAGAGGAAGGGAAACCAGTTAGGAAAGTGTTTCAACAGTTCAGGTGGGAGGCGACCACGGTCTGTGCTAGGGTGAGGCAGGGAGAATGTTGGTGGACACATTTGGAGTCCAGCATCCACTGGGAAGAATTTAGCTTCAGTGTGCACCTAGAAGACAGACACATTCTTTCAATGCACCCTGTCTTTTCCACTCCATTTTCTTTTTCTCTCTTTTTTTAAATTGAGACGGAGTCTCATTCTGTCACCAGGCTGGAGGGCAGTGGTGCAGTCTTGGCTCACTGCAACTCCACCTCCTGGGTTCATGCGACTCTCCTGCCTCAGCCTCCCCCCGAGTAGCTGGGATTACAGATGCGTGCCACCACACCCGGCTGATTTTGTATATTTTTAGTAGAGATGAGGTTTCACCATGTTGGCCAGGCTGGTCTCAAACTCCTGACCTCAAGCGATCCACCTACCTCAGCCTCCCAAAGTGCTGGGATTACAGGTGCGAGCCACCTTGCCACACTTTTACCCCATTTTCTAAACTGGGAGCTGAAAGGCACAGGGCAGATTGATAACCCTTAAAGCCAAAGGACAGGACATTTCAGCAAAGACTCCAGTTTTTGGTGCAGTCTAATTTTACTCACGATTGCTTTAGAGATGGATTCCTTAACCAACTCCTCCAGTCCTCAACTGCTCCCAGAGGGCAATTTTAATTGATAGGCTCAGCACATAATTGAAATTAAAAACGTACATCTCATGGCGTTTGGCTCTCTCCAGCAGCCAATGGAAACTCAGAGCCAAATCTTGTAAAAGTTCTAGGCTCTACTTCCCAGCAGAGGGGGGGACCCGGCTCCCAAAGAGGCCGCTTCGTGGAGACAGACATATGAGAAGTGGGCTTTGGATCTACTTCATGGTCTTGCTCGTTGTGCAACTGGCCGCTTGGGTTCACGGAAGGATGCCAAGGGCGGGGAGGTGGGGAATAGAGGGGAGGAAAGGTGACTCCCGTCAAGGAATTTTTCTAACACCCATCAAGCATTATGATTAGAACTGTTTTCTCCGCAGACTCTTCCAATTTTTGAACGCGGTATTTTTGGGCACAGGAAATGGCCCGGAGGAGCTGCAGAGCAAAGCCTCCCCTCTCTGGCACCGCATGGGAGTGCCCCGTGGGATGAGGGAGAGGACGAGGCAGTCAGGCAAAGGTTAGGGGAGGAAAGCAAAGGCGGGGACCCAGAACGACTCCAGGAAATGTTTGGATTTCTCCACTAGGAGGGAGGACAAACAAGCTTTTTTCTTGCCTTCTGGGCAGCTCTGTGTGCTCTCCAGCTCGGACTCCGAGGAGGAAGGGCGAAGCTGAAAATAAAATTTATTCTGGAGCTGGACCCAATGGCTCCTCTACTGCACGAAGCCCATTGGACCCCCGCAGCCCACCGCCTCCCAGAAATGACCACTTTGACTAAATTGCATGCATTTCCAAGCTTCGTCCGGCTGCAGGCTTGGCCTCTGGGAGAGGCAGGCGGCTTGTGAGCCGGGCTCCAGAGACAGGACCTCCCGGGTCTCTCATTTCCTGGCTGAAGTGTCTCTTCTCGGTGCTGTGACAGCATCCAACCCACACTCGCAGAACCCGCATCCTGGATGATAAAGTCAGACACGCAGCAGCTAGGTGAGTGGTAACGCTCAGATAAGCATCTGTGCCTTTGTGGGGACTCTCTGGGCTGCTCCGCACCCGGGCACTTGCTCTGTCCTCGCCATGTACAACGGATCGTGCTGCCACATCGAGGGGGACGCCATCTCCCAGGTGATGCCGCCGCTGCTCATCGTGGCGTTTGTGCTGGGCTTGTTGGGCAATGGGGTCGCCCTGTGTGGTTTCTGCTTCCACACGAAGACCTGGAAGCCGAGCACTGTTTACCTTTTCAACTTGGCCGTGGCTGATTTCCTCCTCATGATCTGCCTGCCTTTTCGGACAGACTATTACCTTAGAGGTAGACACTGGGCTTTGGGGGACATTCCCTGCCGGGTGGGGCTCTTCACTTTGGCCATGAACCGAGCCGGGAGCATCGTGTTCCTTACGGTGGTGGCGGTGGACAGGTATTTCAAAGTGGTCCATCCCCACCACGTGGTGAACGCCATCTCCAATCGGAAGGCGGCTGGCATCGTCTGCGCCCTGTGGACCCTGGTCATTCTGGGAACGCTGTATCTTTTGCTGGAGAACCATCTCTGTGTGCAAGACACAGCCTTCTCCTGTGAGAGCTTCATCATGGAGTCGGCCAATGGCTGGCACGACATTATGTTCCAGCTGGAGTTCTTTCTGCCCCTTGGCATCATCTTATTTTGCTCCTTCAAGATCGTTTGGAGCCTGAAGCAGCGGCAGCAGCTGGCCAGACAGGCTCGGATGAAGAGGGCCACCCGGTTCATCATGGTGGTGGCGGTTGTGTTCATCACATGCTATCTGCCCAGCGTTTCCGCCAGGCTCTATTTCCTCTGGACGGTGCCCTGGAGTGCCTGCGATCCGTCTGTCCATGTGGCCCTGCACGTTACCCTCAGCTTCACCTACATGAACAGCATGCTGGATCCTCTGGTGTATTATTTTTCAAGCCCCTCGTTTCCCAGATTCTACAACAAGCTCAAAATCTGTAGTCTGAAACCCAAGCAGCCAGCACACTCAAAAACACGAAGGCTGGAAGAGATGCCAGTTTCGAACTTCGGCCGCAAGAGTTCCATCGGTATGGCAAATAGTTTCCAAACCCTGTCTGACGGGCGGTGGGATCCCCAAATGCGTTGAGTGTCGCTGAACAAGCAGACCCGCAAGGTTGAGGAAGACAGAGTGGTGACCTAGAGTTAACTCATGCTAAGGGGTTGGGGCTTTGAAATTGCCACTCCGCTTTCTTATTGCAAGATGGCTTCACACACATGAGCTGCATCCTTCTCATTCTGTCGGAAATGACATTCACATAACTGTACCTTTTGGGGAGGTTCCAGTTGATTGAAGTGAGTTGACTGCATTTTATCTGATTATAATGGCAGGGGACTGAATGTGCCGGGAGTGGCGTCTGTGCGTGTTGGGAGGGGATTAGGAACCGCACAGCCTCTGTGTAATTTTGTTTGTTTGTTTTTGTGTTTGTTTTGAGACGGAGTTTTGCTCGGTCACCCAGGCTGGAGTACAGTGGCCCACTGCAACTTCCGCCTCCTGAGTTCAAGCAATTCTCCTGTCTCAGCCTCCTGAGTAACTGGGATTACAGGCTCCAGCCACCAGGCCCTGCTAATTTTTGTATTTTTAGTGGAGACAAGGTTTCACCATGTTGGCCATGCTGGTCTCAAACTCCTGACCTCAGGTGATCCACCCCCCTTGGCCTCCCAAAGTGGTGGGATTACTGGAGTGAGCCACTACTCACTCGGGGAGCCCGATCTCCCCTGTGTAATTTTAAATCGCTAAGTAAATGGGTATATGTGTTTAAATGGGTGATGTTCTCTCTCTTAGAGGATGAGGGGGCAGTTAGCAGTATTTCCTATTAGGGAGTCGGGGGAAGTTAGCAACACTTCCTATCCTCTGAGCTTAAATCATTTCTCATCTCGGGAAATAGGAACCAGACTAAGTCAATACTTTTTATTTCAGGCCAAATGAGGCTCTTTAGATTGGGATGTATTGATCCTATTAATTTTCATCTTTACGGGGGCCTCTCTGTACATTTCTTCGTGATTGTTGTGACTTCCCAGTAAACCCAAGAAGAACAACAGCAAAACCATCTGCCCTGACCTTCTTCACTTTTGTGTTTCAAAGCAGGTGCTGAGGGTCTGTCCCCAGCCCTGGCTTCTCCAGTGCCATGTGCTGAGTCCATCACAATTGCTTTTGACAACTTGTTACGTGACTGTGAATTGAAATTATTCATTTATTTCTTCTCCAGGTATTTGCTGAATTTGTATTTGGTGGCAGGCACTATACTGTGTAATTTTTGCCAGAGGGTCATTAGTCAACTCTGTGTGACAGTAAAGTGTTTTGGGGGCTGGGGACAGAGAAGTTAATAACTTTCATCCTTTCATGGAATATAGTTTCTAGACCTGTTCTGTGTGAATATCAATGTTGTCCTCTTATTGCAAGACTCCCTCATGCACAGGAGTTTCCCAAATGTGTACCTGGACCCCTTAAAACAGAGGACTCTGTGAAATGACAAGCTGCCCCTGCCCTGAATTAGGGGGAAACATTCCAGGCCAACTCTAGCTCCTTTCTCAAGCTGCGAAGTGGTGAACATGGTTCTCAACTCCTTAATTTATACTCTCTCAAATGCCCAGCGTGCTCTCCCCACTTAAGAACTTTGCCAACTTCTAGTTCTTTGGCCTCAAAACACCCCTGTAAGGCCGGGCGTGGTGGCTCACACCTGTAACCCCAGCACTTTGGGAGACCGAAGCAGGCGTATCACTTGAGGTCAGGAGTTTGAAACCAGCCTGGTCAACATGGCGAAATCCCGTTTCTACTAAAAATACAAAAATTAGCCAGGTGCGGTGGTGGGCGCCTGTAATCCCAACTATTCAGGAGGCTGAGGCAGGAGAATCGTTTAAACCCAGGAGGTGGAGGTTGCCGTCAGCTGAGATTGCACCATTGCACTCCAGCCTGAATGACAGAGTGAGACTCCGTCTCAAAAAAACAAAAAAAAGAAAAGAAAAAAAAACAACTCTTTAGGCTGTCCCTATTATTCCTTTTTTCAGAGGCACTGCACAGCCTAGTGATGAAAAATACGGGCTACAGAGTGTTAGATGCATCTAAGTTTGAATCTCAGCTCAAGCACGTACTAGACCTGTGATCTTAGGGCAGATTGCTTTTTCAGACACAGAGTCTCGCTGTATTGCCCAGGCTGGAGTGTGTACCATGCTTGTTGCTCACTGCAGCCTCAAACTCCTGGGCTCAAGCAATCCTCCTACCTCAGTCTTCTGAATAGCTGGGAGTATAGCCATGACGAGGTCTCACACACTGTGTTGCCCAGGCTGGTCTCAAACTCATGGCCGCAAAAAGTCCTCCCATCTTGGCCTCCCAAAGTATTGGGATTACCTGCATGAGCCACTGCCCCCAGCCTGGCAGATTTTACTTAACCACTTGTAGCTTCATTTTCCTCGTCTGTCAAACAGGGATAACTATAATACAACTTCAGTGTGTCACTGGGTAGATTAAATGAATGTACATTCCTGAAGCATCGGAACTTTGTTCACTGTTATATACCCAATGCCTAAAAGAGGACCTGCACATAGTAGGTGCTCAGTAAATGTTTGGTAAATGAATGAATGAATAAGTGCATGTAAAGCCTTAAGTACAGAGCCTGGCAGTAAGTGCTCAATATTATGACTTATGATATTAACACGTTTTACACATAAAGAAATGGAGGCAAAGAAGCAATTTCCCTTGGGGTTTAGAGCCCTTAAGTTGCTGCTCTGTTTTCACGCCTGAATTCCCCTGCCCCTCAGTTACCTGGTGAAGAGTGAAGGCAAGAATTCGTATCAGCATTAAAGAGTCACACATCCTCCTGATGGAACCTGTGAAAACCCACACTTCCGCTTTTGGTTCTATTGTTAGAATTATTCCCCAGTCTGCTGCTCCTTTGTTGCTTCATCGTAATAAAAATGGATTCTGAAAGCAAATCTGCGTCCTGTAAGTGGCTCTAGGTCAAAGGAACACTATAATTTTGCCCTCCAAGGGGAAAAAAAAGCTAAAATATCCAGAACTGCATGGCAAGCAGGCAGAGGTTCTCACTGAAAAAAAAAAAACAAAAAAAACAGCAAACACAAACAGAGAGAAAAATCAAACCCAAACTGAAACACAGCCTTGATTCCAAATTTGCTTCCCTTTTTAAGTTCTCAGAATGTGACGAAAAATACATCTTAGCAAGAAGTTTCTTTGGAAGATGCAAAGAAGGGGAGTATAGCTTTGTTGACAATACTTTGTTTAAACTATCTGAAACAGGAAAATGATTGATTTACATGTCTTGTTCTCTCTCTCTCTCTTTTTTTTTTTTTTTGTGAGATGGGGTCTCACTGTGTTGCCCAGGCTGGAGTGCAGTGGTGTAATCATGCTCATTGCAGCCTTGACTCCTGGGTTCAAACGATCCTCCCACCTCAGCCTCCTTAGTAGCTGAGGCCACAGGTATGCCCCACCGTGTCTAGCTAATTTTTCTGTAATATTTGTAGAGATGGGGTCTCACTACATTGCCCAGGCTCATCTCAAGCGATCTTTCCTCCTTGTTACTCCTTCTAGAGTCTTTTGGGAAAAGTCACATGAAATCTGGAAGAGCTATCAGGCCAGGTAGTCTATAGGGATGATGTGGAAAAAGAGGTATCTTTTATTCATGCTAACCATGGTAAAACTTTCAGTTTTGGTCTATTCTCAGAATGGGTTTCCTTACCCTTTATTAAAACCAAAATGTTGGCCAGGCACAGTGACTCACGCCTGTAATCCCAGCACTTTGGGAGGCCAAGGGGGGCAGATCAGAGGTCGGGAGTTTGAGACCAGCCTGGCCAACACAGTGAAACCCCGTCTCTAGTAAAAATACAAAAAATTAGCCAGGTGTGGTGGCAGGTGCCTGTAATCCCAGCGACTCGGGAGGTTGAGGCAGGAGAATCGCTCGAACCTGGGAGGCGGAGGTTGCAGTGAGCCGAGATCGCACCATTGCACTCCAGACTCGGGGAGCAAGACTCTGTCTCAAAAATAAAATAAAATATAATAAAATTATAAAATAATAAAATAATCCTGTAGAACCCTGTGTTTGTCACTTTCACACAGGGTCCCACAGGAGAATCCAGGGCCCTCACTCCTGTCTTAGAGGATGGGGGAAGGCTTCCCAGAGGAAGTAGCTTGCAAACTTGGCTCTGAAGGATGGAGGGGAAGCCACCAGGGACACAGTGGGGAAGGGTATTCCAGGTGGATGTAGAGAGGTGAGAAAGAGCAAACTGTTTGGGAAGTGCAGGAAGACCAATAGGGCAGGAATGAAAAGTCCAGGCTGGGGCTGCGACCACCTGGTAAGAGGTGAAGCCATAAGGTCAGCAGAGGAGTGAAGCGTCTATTGTCTGTTCTAACCATTAATGTGGCAAAAGAGTCACGAATAGACTCAGATTTCTTTTTTTCTCTCTCTCTTT